ATCGGTAGGCCAATCGGTTTCGTTCTTAGCTAACCATGTCGGACCTGTACGCCAGGTAATATTTAATAAAAAATCACGTGGTAATTAACCCCTCGAAATTGCATCTGCTGGATTATCCTCTGATTTTACGTGTCGCTACTCATGGCTACCGGCCAGTTCCTGTATTGCTATTACACGGTTTGCTACGTAGGTTTTCAACAAATGCGGCTGTGTTTTTACCCAGTGTAATACAATGGTCGAATCACACCAGAATATGACCTTGTCAGGCGTAATATCTAACGCATCGTTCACTTCATGGTATAATCGTGCTGATAATAATGCACCACAGAGCTCGAGTTGCGGAATGGTTAACGTTTTCAAAGGCGCCACTCGCGATTTAGGGCATAATAAACGAGTCTTTGTTATCTCACGATTTTCGACAGTGCGTACGCACATACACGCACCGTAATCGTTATTGCTCGCGTCACAAAAAACATGGAATTGAATATCATGACAATTATCTATCAAAAGTTTTCGATCGAAAGAAATTTGATCTATTAATAGCCATTGTCGCGCGAACTCTAACCATTCAGTGTGGATACTTTGTGGGACGGATTCATCCCATTGTAATCCGCTTCGCCAGACGTCCTGCATTATTTTCTTAGCATACAAAATGATTGGTCCGAGTAAACCTAACGGATCGAAAATCTTCGCGATCTCTGATAGGATGTTTCGTTTCGTTATTCTCTCTAAATCTTTAAACGGGTGAGTGGAATAATATTTTTTATCATCGCATGTATTCCATACTAAATTTAACGTTTTTAGAGATTGGTTTTCATTTAACACAAAATTTGTGTGTAATGCGTTAGATGGGATGTCGCTAATTATCTGTTTCTCGTTCGACGCCCATTGTCTTATGGAGAAACCGCCACGCGATAATAATTTAATTATCTCGTCTCTAATACATCCAGCTTCGTTAATTGTCTCGGCACCGGTTAATAAATCGTCGACATATAAATGTGTTTTGAGAATATTAGCCGCTTTAGGATATGCAAGAATTTCATTATCCGCGAGTCTTTGTATCGTACGAATTGCTAGAAAAAGCGAAGAGGAAACACCGAATGTAACCGTGTTAAGCTGAAAGGTTTCTATTTTGTCGTTTCTGCGCCAGAGAATGCGCTGATATTTTCGGTCATCTTTGTGCAATAATATTTGACGGTACATTTTTTTTTATGTCCGCTGTAATGACGTATTTGTAATGACGCGCGGAACCGAATTAAATGTGACGTTAATTTGTTTTGAATCGTTGGACCGGTCATTAACATGTTATTTAAAGAAAGGCCGTTGTTAGTGTTTGCCGATGCATCAAATACTATTTCGAACCTTTGTTGTGCTACTTGAATCTTTAACTACCGCGTGATGGGGCATGTAAAAGCCATCGTCAATAGGATCTTCTATGTAAGACATATGTTTTAATTTCAAGTATTCTTCTATCACGCGAGTATACTCGTTTTTTAAGGTAATGTCGGTATGGAGTTTACGTTCTAACTCTAGTAAAGTCTGAGTGCGATAAATCGTGATTCGCCAAGACGCTTGTCGGTATTACGAAATGGTAAACAAACTGTATAACGTCCTTGTGTGTCACGAGAGGTCGTTTTCTCGAAATGATTTTCGCATTCACACACAATATCTTCTGCCGATTTTAACTTATTTGTCGCGACTTCTTCGACCGACCAGAATCTCTGTAACAAGTCTTCTAAGTTTGTTAAATAACATGTCGCCACCTTATAATTATGTGGTTTTGTACTGCCAGCGATCACCCATCCTAATCGCGTTTTCTGTAAATACATATCGTGACCCTCGCGAGATAAATTTATCTGACCGATAGCGAGCAACGACAACGTCAATCTTGAACCGATTAATATATCAACAGAGCATGGTAAATGAAATTCCGGATCTGCCAGTCTGACATTTGCCGGTATTTTGATCGAATTGCGCGGAAAAATCTCGGAAGGTATCAAATCCGTAATTGTTAGAATAGTTAGACATGTTAAAGCTTTATTAAAGTTATCATGTATCGATTGTATATTGATTTGCACTATACCTTTCGATTCCGTGTTCATACTATTAATCGTACCGATTGGTAATGAATGTGCTAGCACATTTATATTTAATCGTTTTATGATAGCTTCGGAAATAAAATTTGCGGTGGCACATGTATCTAGCAAAGCGCGCCACTTAATTAGTTTATTTTCACTGTCACGGATATACACAAGTGCGCTCGTTAATAGTTGTGGCGTAGATGCATGTAATGTAGTGAGATTCGTGTTTCTATCGGTCGTTTCGTTTAGTCAATCTGTCTGAGCAGATTCGGACTTAGACTTGTTTGTAGTCGCATAATCATCGAGATGTAGTAGAGTATTGTGTCGTTTTTGACAAATTGTGCAACTCGAGAATTTACACGCGACACTCCGATGTGTACGCAAGCAATTGTAGCAAACTTTCGCGCTTTTTATAAAGTCTATGCGTTTTTGTACGGGTAATTGTTTAAATTTGTCGCACAAGTAGAGAGGATGGTTTTTAGTTTTGCACATTGGACAATTTCGTGATGCATTTAACACAAATGTTCGATTTGTAAACCCATTTCGTTTCTTTTTCGCGAAGGGTTCGCCTATGCCTCTTTCTGTTTCAGCAATCTTTAACCTTTCACGTTTCGACGCGCAGACTGCAGTTTTATAAAGAAATTCGTATAATTGTTCTGGTTTTGGAAACTCGTCTCTCTCAAGAGTCGACTCCCATTTCTCTAATGTATTTTTCGGAAACTTGTTTTCAAGAATGTGTACGATCATTTTTGGTCCGATGGAAACGCCTAGAGAATTTAACGACGCAACGTATTACTGCATGTCGTCTGCGAGTTTAGATAAACCGTTTGTCGTTTCTTTATCTATTGCTGATAAATTGAGAATTAAAGAAAGGTGTCGTGAAATAAGAATCCGCTTGACTTTATACGAACATTCTAGTAAATTCTATGCGTTTAAATAATTGATACCGTCTACTTCAAAAATTCTTACTTTAGCGGCAGCTTCCCCGACTAAAGCTGATTTCAAATAATGAAGTTTATCTATATCCGATAAATCTGTTTGCGATCCTATCATGTTATAAAAGGCGTTTTTGAACGACAACCACTTTTCATATTTTTCATCAAACGTAGGTAGAGATGCTTCGGGTAATTTAATTCGCCGTTTCTGGACCGCATTTACGAGACCCGTATTATTATTGGCTCGAATTTCATCACTCGATGTGCTACTACCAGTATCCGGAACATTTGTCGTGTATAAGACATTTCAATCCTACCAGCGAGAGCATAAAAACGATCTTGTATATTTGCGAATTCGGTATGATGCCCATCGTTAAGATCTAATATGACTAATTCGTCGTGATATTCCTCGTATGCGTGATATAACTCTCTTAAACGCGTTATTCGTAATTTTAATACGGAATTGTCCATCTTTCCCTTGTCGAAGATATTGACCAAATTCGTAATTTGTGATTTTAACGACGTCCGTTTTTGCACGAGAATTTTGACTCTATCAGCCATCGTAATAACTTGAAATCATATAACTCACTCAGATCGATGATAAATAATAAATGGTCGTCCAACGTATTCGTCAATTTTATTCCTTGATATGTGAGGCAATTGTATCCGTCTTGTCAGCTCGTCTGCTTGTCACAAACCTCACAGGAGGCACCAAAATGTTATGTATCAGCAGGGATAGATTACATCCACACTGTGATTCCGCATATAAAAATTAGTTTATTGAGATTCACGTTTTTGAGATGATACAGTTTTGTTTGTGGTTTGTGATGCACTAATATTGAGACGACGCTTAGGGGCCTTCGAACGCCCTGAGTCGCATGGACCTCGCCTAGGGGCGTTATGTTTTTTGCCCTGAGTCCTGGTGGTCGGACAAACCGCGACAACGCCTAAAGACGAATCGTCTTGAGTCGCGGTATTGATTAATATAAATATGCACACACACACACACACACACACACACACGCGCGCGCGCGCGCGCGCGCGCACGGTATCGATTTTTGATTCACTTTGATCGTATGCGTATTGAACGCTTCAAAAAGGATTTAGCTGTAGAACCGTCGACTAGCTCGAGCAGAACAGTAATGAATATTAGTTTAGCCTTTCCAAGCTAGGTTTCTTGGATCCGGCTTCTGATTGGCTCTGAACTTCCATTGGTTTATATGCATAAGGCGACATCAACAATATGCCGACAAAGAATTATTTAATATATGTTGTTTTTAAACTTGCCCACGATATAAAAAATCAGAAAATACCGCTGATGTTATCGTTAGATCGCGCGGCCCTTAGATCTTCACCGAATTTGTAAGATCCGTGTGTGTATATGTGTGTATGTGTATGAACGCATTATTTCGTCCGACCATTATATTTATTGTCTATTATTGCTTTATTACAATATGATATGTGCACAACGCATAAAGAGCTATTGTTCATTATTCAAACAAATATTAGTAATAAAGTTTTCCTAAAATAGTAATTCAATATTGCATACAAATGTAGAAATCTCAATAAAACTAAATATACAATATTAATTAAACTGTACAAAATAAAATATTTTAATGTTCTAGTTATTCAATACGTATTATAATATAACAACCACAGTTGCTAGGTAATTTTATTAGCATAAATATTATGCTAATAAAAAACTATGTTTACTATAATATCTTTCATGAAAAAAATAAAAAATTTTGTTATAAATAAATTTTATGTATATTATTTTAGTAATATTTATTGCAGTTTTTAATGTTATTATCAATACTTAAGTAAAGCGATATACTCCTGTAGAAATTTACACGTCAACGTATATGAGCAACTATACAGTCAAAATATTAATCATTTTGGTAAGCCGCAAACATCCAGGAAGAAATAATACCGTCATCCAAGTCAGTCGTCTCGACATTCAGTCTGTTGCAATCGACAGTGTTTAGCAGTTCAATGATTGAAGTCGGAGAAATGCTGAGAGTTTGTAACTCCCGTATTCATAAGCTTCAGAATTTTTAAGGATTCTCCTGTAAGTGAGATAATATGTAAGTCATTTTACTTTAAATGTTTAAAATACTATATACATTTTGTAGATTTTGTATATTTTATTCTTTTAATAATAAAAAAAAGTTATTTTAATAAATATATCAATAAATAAAATTTATATGCAAGATTAATTTATTTCAATAAATATAACATACATTATAATTATAACGCTTTTTCAGACGCGTGACGCAACTTGATTATACCTTCTTGCTTTTCGTTTACATCTCACAATCAACTGTTGCATACAATCCACAATCATACGCAAGAATGTTTCCTAAAAATAATCTCGGCAAAGATTATTCCAGCATATCTAAACACGAACTAGAATTGCATGTTTGTAACAACGAAAGAGACCTTGACGAAAGTTTGCGAAACATGGTCGAAAATTTTATTTATCACTACAGTATAAATTTAATGATGCCTCATTTACTTGTGAATATTAGTAGAATTAAAAAATTCCAAGATTTATGTAACGAAGATATTGTAGGCAGACATTTTCCCATCACTGACGTCTTAAATGAATTTTATTCTTTTTTTGAGTTAAACCGTACATTTCTACATAATTATAAGATCCTTTCAAATTTCAGAAAGTGCAGTTTGCCAATTTTTATTATTCTGGCTTTTTTAGGAAACTGTTTGTCTGCCAGTGTGCTCTTTCGTAAAAAGATGCGTTCTTTCTCGTCCAACATCTACTTGGGTGTACTAGCAATAAGCGACATTGTCTATTCGATGACATTACTTATTAAATGGCTCCATATAATGGATATAAATCCAGGAACAAACTATTTGTATTGGTTATATTTCTTCATAGACTTTCTGAACTTCTTGTCCCAATTTTTCAGTGTGTGGCTTATAGTAGCCTTTACCATCGAGCGATATATTGTAACGAAGTATCCACTTCTACGACGATCTTGGTGCACTGTCAAACGAGCAAAAATTGTAGTAATCACACTGATAGGACTAGCGACTTTGCTCAACATTCTGCATATGTTTGTTATTCCTTGGACCATGCAGAATGTAGTATTAAAAAAAAAAAGAATGAATATCTATGATATATACAAACATCTAAAATTGGAAAATCAAACAAGAGTTAGAAAGACAAGGATCATTATAGATTCTATTACACTATTTACTCTACCTGCTCTCGTAATAGTAATCTGCAATACTCTCATAGGATATCACATTTATCAGCAAAATCGTGTTCGCAAAACTTTGATTAAAGTCTCCGATTCTTCTAATGAGAGAACTCGGATTTCTGGTGATAAAAAGCTCCAGTACAAAATCACAAGAATGCTTATTCTCGTTTCGAGCATATTTGTAATCTTGAAATTACCTACACGTTACTTTTACTGCATTGATAGTTACGTACGTATCAATAATTAATATTAAAATAATACCAACCATAATATATAGTTTATTTACTCTACAATTGCATTCTCTCTGTATATGACAAAAAGTATTAAATAATTTTTTTCTTAAAGTTTGAATGTTTTTAAATAATTTATACTGTTTAATTTTTACATTAAAAATTAAATTATACAATAATTTTTTTATATTAAATATCTGCGTAAGAAAATGGATGCATTAAAATACGATATGTTATTATTAATAGTTATATAAAACTAAAATAACATTAATAATTTTTTCAGATATCTGAATTTGTCAATGTGTTTGTTATGGTCGCAATATTCGAGCTATTAGACACAGCACATTGCAGTATAAATTTTGTTCTCTACTGCGCAACGGGACAAACTTTTCGCAGGGAACTTATCCACATGTTTACAAAACGTAAAAGTGTAAGGAAAAACAAAAATCATGGAGATGTATAATTATAAGTAACAGTATGTTTGATGTCCAATTATGCAGTCAAAAAAGGTAATACCATAATTAAACACGGCGTTTTATGCTGAAAATAAAATCAATAAATTTACAAAACTAGATGTAAAAAGTACATAATAATAGAAATTTACTAAATATATATTGTTTATTTACATAATTTCACAATTTGGGTGGATTTCAAAAAAGCTATTACCTCCGATTTGGCTAATATTCAGCTTAAATATTTATTTAATTTAGTAAATAATATTTACAAATAAATTTTTGGCGCAAATGTCCTTTCCGCCCCCAGCACCACTCAAAGATAAAATCGTTTTAGTTAATTATTTCAGAAAGTGTTTATTGTACGAAAAAAGTTATCAAACAAAAAATGAAGCTTATAAAAAGCTCGATAAATAAGATCCTATACATATTTTACCTAACTCCAATATTTTAGTTGTTATTATCAAAAAACTTGTGAAAGCCCCAGTAAGGGCGGCACTCATTGCATCCACACATACACTTTCCACGCGAAACGAGGTTCCACATGGGTTTACAAATTTCTACGCAAAGCGAGATTCAATCCAAACGCTATGTGTACAGCTTTTTGTCGGTGGAGCCGCTCGCAGGGAGTCGGAACACACTGCCTCCAGATTTTTAATAATAACGACTAAAATATTGGAGTTAGATACAATATGTATAAGATCTTATTTGTCGAGCTTCTTATGAGCTTCATTTTTTGTGTGACAACTTTTTCCGTACAATGAATACTTTCTGAAATAATTAACAAAAAGTTTTACCTTTGAGAGGAAGCTGAGGGAGAGGGCATTTGCGCCAAAAATCTATTTGGGAATATTATTTACTAAATAAAATGAGTATTTAGGCTGCAAATCAATCAAATCGGAGGTGATAACTTGTCGGAAGTATATCCCATAAATTTTATACTATTTACTTAGTATAAATCCTGTTTCCATTATTAACCATGTAATTCTTACATCTTTGTTGTGTAAATTCATCGAATTTTTTGACATGTGCATACTTATATTACATTAATCAAAAATTCTTTTACTATCTATGTTATATGACTTTTATTATTAAATGTGTGAAATAAAAAATAAAGCAATTTTTTCTCAAATTGATAATATTTTGCATTTTGTCACAGCTTGCAAGTTTACGTCCAATCGCACTTCAAACAAAAAATCATACTTATTTGTTAACAACGCACAACTGAAAGTTTCTCAAGAGAAGCTAACATTCCAGATTGATACACGAGAGATTATAATATACATTATAACTTTATATAAATATTGTTAACTGCAAACAGCTAAATAAGATAGTTAAACATCTTATTGTATTAAAAGTGTTAAAAGTAAGTCAAAAGTAACAATTATAAAAATCTATGATACACAAATATGAAGTATGTATCAATGTTTCAGCGTATCATAAAGAGAACGGCAGTTTTGTATATTCTATTAATGAATATCGACCTATATAACTTAGAAAAAAATGTTGATTTTTAACTATTTAAAATGGGAAAATTGTCACATCATTGATTGTAAAGCAAAAACAATTTGTTATCTTCAAAGTTAAGTGAATGACATCTATTCATTACAGGAATATTTTTTAAAATGACAAGAATTTGTTACTGACAAATTGCGTTCTATTTTTATGTTATTATGTCACAAATATCCATATCAACCAGTGTATTAATATACAAGTATGTACATGTTTGATAATTTTATTTACTACACACGTGCATATTACTTGTTTAAATAAATGATAAACGCTTTTTTATATGTAAGTAACGCTTTTAAACAAGTATTGTAATTTTTATTTATTACATTGTACATATTGCTTTCCTTTATGTTCTCAGCATTTTCGACCAATATACTTACAATTGGATTGATGATAATGCGACGTGAACTAGTCTCGGAATCACGCCAGATCCGAGGGAACACGCCGAATGGAAATCGGTAACCGCGGTACTCCACGATCTTCGAGAGATAGGTAGCTTACGCGGTGTCGGCGGTAAACGCACGACTCGGTAACTCGCGGTATCGGCAATAACTGCACGATTCGGTAACTCGCGGTATCGGCAATAGATGCTCGATTCGGTAACTCGTGGTACTCCACGCTCGTCGGGAGCAAGGTAACTCGCGAAATCGGCAATAACTGCACGATTCGGTAACTCGCGGTACTCCGCAAAATTCGGGAGCAAGGTAACTCACGCGATATCGGTAACCGGAAATGGGCGCCAGGTGCGAGTAATCGCACCGCGGTATCGGTAACTTCAACAGTTCTCTAAAATGCTCGGCCGCTCCCCGCTCAGTGTATGGCAGAGGGGCGCAGTTCTTTTATTTGGCGTTAGATATCTGGAGTGAGAGGCGAACACAAGGACAACTCAATAATTAAGATTTAACAATAATGTATTTCAACGATTTGGTTACAAGGGTTAAAGATGAGTAGATTGTTCGGCCTGAGCCGATACGGCGGAAATAGCTTAATACAGCGGCAGTAAGGCAATTCGCCCAATAAATTGGTAACAAGAACAAATTTCGGTAACTACATGAAATTTTGGAAACGCGATCACGATAATTCGCAACTGATCCGACGATATTCAGCAAAACAAATGACTTGTATTATGACAATCCGACGCGGTCGGTGAAGGCCAAATAAATATGCTTTGAACGACGGTGGCCTAACGGCCAGAAATGAGATGTTGCGGAACGGCTATTTTCGCGGGTTTTCACGTTTCTCGCCGAGACGCTAACTTTGCAGTAACAGCGGTCTCGCGAACGTTCCCGAATAAAATCCGTCCGCGGACATTCAACCACGGTACTTCCGGTACTGTGATAACGCGACAAAAACGGTAACAAAACGGTATCGTAAGAAAGACGGTAGCAAATAGTCGGTATCTCCAAAAAAGAAACGGTAACGGAAAGACGGTACGGTAACGAAACGGAACGGCAATCGAAATGGCAACGAGAAAGAGACTGTCGGTGCTGGATTCACGCAAGACAAAGAGACTTTTACGCGATATCCGGAGCCGGCTGAACATGCGGTAACTGAACGCCAAAACGCGCTTACGGTATCAAAATTGCGATTAGTCGTGTGAGAGACACAGAACACAGAGTTTCAGACTCACGCTACCAGCCATAACCGGACGGAACTCTACGGCTACCCGAGAGGCGGCTTACATCGAATCGGCGTCTTCGGCGTCGTTGGGCTGAGTCCTAACGTTGGTCCTCGCACTCTTGCGGCACACCGAACAGTGATTCTTCTCGGCTCTGCACGTTGGTCCTTCTAATTCCGCGTCGCCTTTTCGCGCATCCTGCCGATTTTCCAAAAAGGGGGGCTCCTGAGAACCGCCCACAGTTTATCCAGAGCGCGCCCCCCCCCCGCTTTCTGTGGCTTCCTCAAATCATCCGGTTCGGATTGCGTTGATTATTCGATGTTCCCGGAAGAGACTGGTTAGGCTGGCCGGGCCTTACTCCGGTCCTTCCGGGTGCAGCATCTTCGGAGTCCTCGGTACCGTCTGCAGCCGGGCGAGGTCCGCTGCTGCGTTTCTTTGCGAGCGTGTGGCTAAAACCAAAGCGGAGTTAGTCGATAGGGCCTGGATGGCGGAGGCGACGGGATCGCGGTACCTGACCTTGTCTGCTGCGGGGTCACTAACACGTGACACCCGTTGATGATCCCCCGGCGTCCGGTCTCTATGGCGATGCTGAATCTTCGCTCTGAGGCACAAATACGCAACGCCGCCCGCACGGGGTCTCGCCTTACAACTTAAACGAT